CCCCGCGGAGCAGGGAGCCCAATGCGGGGCTCGATCCCAGGACCCTGGGATCATGACCTGAGCTGAAGGCAGACGCTTAACAACTGAGCCACCCAGGGCCCCTTTTCTCCCCTTCTGATGGCGAAAAGCTCCCCAAGGGCCAATATGTGCACACTCAACCCAAGGGCTCAATGAGGACAAAGTTGGGTTTTGTTTTTTTTTTTTGTAATCATTATTTACTGAGCAAAACCAAACTTGTAGACTGGAAAGGTTGTTGCCAGGCCCCCTTGATGGTGTCTAGAACAGGAAGTGGCTCGTTGCTTTTGCCTTTCAGCCCAGGTGGGGAGGGCCTGCTGGAGGTCCAGCAGCTGGGGTTTGGGCTGCTCTGGGGTTTGGGCCCCAGGCCAGCCTACAGCCCACCGGCCTCCACCTGAGGCCCCCTTCCCCTCCCTCCCCTCCCTTCTGTGGCCCGCCCTTCCGGAAAGAGCCTTCTTGGCTTCTGGCCACCGGGAAGGCGAAGCAAGCCTGCAGTTACTCGCCTCTGGGTCCCTGCAGGCTGCAGCGCTCAGACTCGGGGTGGGGGTGAGGGTGTCTTGAGACCCTTTCCGTCTCAGGCTCTGTGTCGGAGTGGCGGCTGGCCATGTGTTCCCCAGCTACCCTCGAAATCCCCACAGACGCTGCCTTATAAACAGATCCTGGAATTTTCAAAGTGCGGTCCTGTGGTTTGGGACAAGGCTTTCTCTTCTGAGAGGGGTGGGTGTGAAGCCAGTTCTGAAGAAAACCGAGAAACAGGCTGTGAGAACGGGCACGCGCTGGGACCAGCAAAGCTCTCCTTCCTGCCGGGGTCTTCCCTCTGGCTGCTTTGCTTTGCTTTGCTTTGCATCGCATCTCTGGCCACCCTTTGCAAGGGAGGGCCCTGGGGGACTCTGTGTGCGTCAGTGGCCGCTTCTGTGTCTTCCTGTGCAGCCTGGGCATCATCATATTTCTCCGTGCCTCCTTCGTTTCTCCTCAAGCCTGTCCCTCTTTCTCATGGCTCTCTGTACACCCGTGGGAGGGGCGCGGGCATACATGGACGGGTCTAGCCTCCCAGCAGGTCCACTGTAAGGCGGGGAAGGCCAGAGCCAGGATCCATCCCCAGTGCCTGGTCTCCATCTTGGACCTGGGTTTCTGGTCAGACGGGGAGGGCGGGCTCAGTCTCCTCAACAGCATGAGCTCAGTCTAGGCCCTGTGGGTTACACATACACAAACACACACGGCTCCTGGGCATTCTCTGCCCCTGATTGTCCCGGATTACCCTTGTGTGCCTGTTCCCTGCTCCCAGTGACCTCCCCTCCTTTTAGCTGGCCTGTACATTCTAGAAATCTGGCGGGGGAGGGGGGAGTGTTCTTCAGAACGCGCCTGCCAGCCACACTCCAGGTTGGCCGGGTCTCACGCATGCACAGAGCCATATGCTTCCCACTTGGTGTTCGTGGCCGGCTTGAATCCTCCCTGAAACCTTCTCCTCCAACTCTCTTGCACCTGAGCCCATCCTGTCCCGTTGCCATGGCATCCTTGGAACCCAGAAGCCAGATGGTCTTGTGTCCCCTAATGCCCCTTCCAGGCTCAGGCACTTCCGAGCTCAGCAAGAGTTTCCTCAGCACCCCTGTGTCCCCAACGCGCATTGAGGCTGTGTGCCCAGTAGCTCATCTTTTCTCTAGTGACTCCTGAGACTGGTAGCAACAGCACTTGTCCAATTTCAGCTCATAAGTGTCATTTTTTTTTTCTTTTTTTTTTTTTTAAGTAAGCTCTACACGCAACATAGGGCTTGAACTCACCTGACGCCAGCCAGGTGCCCTGTGACAAGTGTCCGATTTGAATTTGCATCTATGGGGCTTGGAGCCAGAGGTCTTAAGAATGACAACAGGGGTGCAGGGGCGCCTGTGTGGCTCACTGGGTTAATCCTGTGCCTTTGGCTCAGGTCATGATCTCAGGGTCC